CTGGTCGTCGTTGTGACGTAAGATGCGGCGGCTGCACACGCGGTCCCCGCCGGACTTCAGTCACTTTGCTGACAGCTGTCGCGTGCAGTTACTTTGAAATTTCTTTTGGTTTATCTTTTCTTGTGACCCTCGCACCAAACGAATCGACGGGCCTCTGGTTGATAATCAGTGTTTATTTAACGACGCTATATCAACTGCGGATATAATTACAAATGACGGGTAGTGGTGACATGTTCAGTTTGCAGTGACTGAGGAGAATCATGTAGGATGGAGTGGTACCTCGAGCAAGAGTCGAACCGGAACCCTCCACCCCGCCAACGTTGCCGCTGCACCGGCTTGCTCGGTCTGGACTGTGGAGGTGTCTCGGAGGGATCGATCGCTGTCGATAAGGTTTGTGCGAATTCTGCGAGTCATTTCGTCACGATCTGACGAAGATAATCGCACGTTACCCTCGTCACGTAGTCCGTTACCAGGACAACGAAAAGTACACACGGCAGATGACCGGGTTCATGTCGTCAGTCCCGCACAGCCGACAGGGGGTGGTGAGAGAGTTGTGACCGCTCACAGCAAAGCAGAGTAGCGAAATGCAGAGAATTACGTAGCAAGGAACTTCGTAATCTGTGTCGCTCTTTAGCAGTTGTCATGAATGAGATAAGCGGGACACGTAGCACGAATGGGGCATGAGACGTGCTCAGACACTCGACAACTTTAGTTAAAAAACTGAGGATAATATTAAAATACATCTTATTGAAATACGGCGTGAGGACGTGGACTGCCTTGGTCTTGCTCAGAATTTGGTTTGTGACGAGCTGTGATGAACCATCGAGTTCCATAAAAGACGTCAATTACTTGACTGTGCCTGAGGAAAGCCATTGCCTGCGTTGTGTAGCTCTGCTGATTTCAGGGTCGGGAAAGACGTCAGACAGAATCCTCCTGATGGAATGCTCATTAAACCGACATTCAGTGAATACGCGTGTCCACAAGAGGCCGCCGCTGTTCTCTGCCCTGAGCCAATTTAATCTAGTGAACAGCCCCAGGATCTATCTTAATGTTATCCTCTGATCTGTTCCTGCTTCCCTGCATTTCTCATTGCAGCAGGTTTTGGATGTGGTTCACGCCGTTGCTTTAGCTGGTGTTTTTTTCTGGTCTGCTGGTGTGACCACAGTCAGGGTACCACCGCCCCCCCACCACCACCAAAGCCCCGCATCACCTGATCCCGACTCCCCCTCCCCCTCCCTCCGCTCTCCGAGGTAACAAAACACATGGGACGTTGATTCCGGGTTTTTCCTTGGCGAAAACGTCTCAGGCTTTGGTTGCCACAGAACGAAAGAAACAGATTTGCCGACCGAGTTTTTGTGTCACGTGGCCGGGGTTTATCACTCGGCTGTTTTCGCTTTGCCTTGGTGGTTTCTTGGGGTTAAGGAAAGAGAAGTGTGGCAACACTGTTTGTAGGCGTAACCTGTCAGTTACACAAGTGAAAGAGCCGAGTACGGTCATCTTTAGGGGCCCGCAGAGGAGACTCGAAAAAAAGAGAACCGAAGGAAAAGTGCGGTTTGTAATGAAAGAAGGCTCTGTTCTGGCGCCGGTAAAGCAGCGAGCTGCCGTACCCGCAAGAAATGAAGGACGCCATTGTCTCGTGTCGAGCTGCGCCGTTACAATTTGCATTCCAGAACACTCACGTCGTCCAGTGTCGGTCTTCCTCCGACCTGGAGGAGGGATTCAACTTGACAGCCACTGCATCTGAGGTGTCCGTCAGTTTGACCTCCTACGCCGTCTGGCTGACAACCGCGGGAGCACTGCTACCTGGTGGACGCCCCCGAATGCGATCAAGTCCGCCTCCTTCTAGATCCGTGATTCGTCGTTGGCTTTTGGGTCTGAGAACGTCGAATGAGTGTTGTTTCAGCAGATGCGTCCGCCTTTACCCCTAGCAGCCGAAGCTCCCGCGAGACATGTTTAAAAAACAAGTCCGTCTCCGTTAGAAAGGGCCCAACTGGCCCTCGTAGGGAAGACGCGATGAGGTAGTTCTGGAACGACTCTGTCAGATGCAGCCATCTTCAGGGCGGAGTGTAGGATGCCTTGTCGTGTTCATTTATCTCATGGTTGCTCGAATGTGTGGGCGGCCTTGGAATCCGCAGCCCATCTTGTGTACGTGCAGGTTTCCCGAAGCGTGTCGGTGGTTTAAAGACACGTCGTGTTTACGTTCTCTCTGCTAACCAGAGATCGCTTGCGCTTATATCTGTTCGCATCTTCCAAATCCGGAGCGCAACCTTGCCCGGACGCGGCTAATTCTGAGCTGTTGATGTTTTTGCCGGCATTGCGCGCTCCTCCAACTCCGAACGCAATGCGTGATCCACTTGCGTCTAGCTGAGTCTGCGTTCCAGACCTCGAGGTCGCACGGACCGCGAGAGGCCATTACAGTGCACACGCTATGTCGTGAGAGTGTATGGGGGCGTGGAGGTACGTGGCGAAGCTTGAAGCTTCTACGTGCTTCTTAAGGGCGCTTCTGACAAGTTGGGTTGCGAGCTGTTACGTCTATCAGAAGCTGAAGGTGCCTCCGCCCCCGTGATTTAGTCACGGGCACAAATTGCCAGCTTTAGAAGACATTGCGTGGGTCGGGGCAAATGCACCGCATGTTTAAGACCTCGTGGTCTCGAGACCTGCATTGGGCGCGTCGTATGCAACGCTAATTGCAGTTGCCGAGACAACGAGAAAAAACAATGACGCTGCGGGTGAATCTGCTTTCTGGTGTGGCTGTACCTGGCAGGCACGGTACAACCGTGATGCTGTTTGTTGCTGTCGAGGCTTGGAGGGGGGGAGGGGGGATGCAGCGTCTCTACCGGTCCAGATGAGGCGGGAGGGGGCATGAGCGGGCAAGGCAAGCACTACGACTTGGCCGGCGACTCAGTCTACGCTCAAGGACGTAGGGAGACGAAGGTTGGTTGCTCGTGCTGTGTGTTTCTGTTTCGTTCTCAGGGTTTTCGGAAAGAAAACGCTTATCATATTTGCAGATGTCTCTCGAACGTGTTTGTTTGTTTGCAAGGGAACAGTTTCAATAAACATTCGACGTTTTTGTGTGCGTGTGGGTTTATCAGTGACACTCGAACAGCGCGCATGTAGGAAAACACTCCGTGGCCCTGGATAAGTCGCTGGTGGTAAGTTCCACTTCTTGTAAGAACGAGCTTAGGACTGGCTGCAGCGTACCAACCCCGAGGAAGACGGGTTTGTTGTCAGATTGTGTGATGGCGGTAGATGAGAAGATGTTTGACCCGTAGATAACGAGGATAATATTAAAACTGGTGAAAATGGAACAGGGTTTGGGGGTAGACTCTCGTATGCAGCAGAATAAATGGAATGTTTTGAGCGATTGTGTCCCATGTGAAATAACAATCACATTGATGTGTGTAATGCAGTAGATTCCGGTTAATCCGGGCAGCCTTTTGTTTGGGACAAATCTTAAAGAACGAACCCTTTTAACTCTTTACGTGGAGCTTCGCATAATTAAGAAAGCCGCTTAATTCGGCCCAAGTGTTCAAGTCCCGATGTGTCCCAATTAACAGGAATCCACTGCATATGCTTAATATGTTATTTTTATTAGGCTATCTTTAAATAACAAAATGACAGATTGCAAATGTGAGCCCCGTTGA